AAGTAACGCATTTTATTTTGTTATATGAATTTAGTAACCCTTAAGATAGCATGCCCGCAATTATGCAAAGTCATTGTTATTATATGATATGGTAGATTTCATATATTTTAGTAACCAACCTTCATTATGGTGCAAACTGGTTTCGCCTTACGCGCAACTAGTTCATTGGCATTAATCCATTACTCTCCCATCCCTAGGCTTTATATATTTAGAATTTGCATATTAATTAGGCAAATGTCATTTGTACGCGTTTTTTATTTGATGAAGAGATAAATTGGCGACTCTTTAATTTCTATATATAGTTTCTGTATACTCCCTCCGTCCCAATTTGATTTGCAAAGTCAACAATTTTTTGTCAACCAATAATAAAAGTCAACCTTCCGTATGGATAATTAATTCAATTTTTAATAATTAAAATTTACATGTTCATAAACTACATTAAAATCTCTTCAAAGTTGTAAACTCCAAATTAGAACATAATTAAAAATTGACATCCAAATTAAGTGAACAAAATGAGACTGTTTGACTAAAAAAGGTCAAATTTGCATCTCTTTTTGGGACGGAGGTAGTAATACACTGGCGTGGTGGTGTGTGATAGGGGGGCAGGGCAAAGGTGGGGTGGGCAGGGTTGGGTAGGTAATACGGACGAGAAAGCGGGTGGGTAGTGGAGTTAGGATGTTTTTACTTGGACTGTAATTTGTCCCAGACCAGAACAGACCACACCAGTCCAGACCAGACCAGTTCAGACCAGATCAGACCAGACCAGACTTGGATAGTTATAAAAATACAAAGAAACCAGACCTAACCAGACCAGACCAGACCAGTTCAGACCAGACCAGATCAAACCAGACCAGACTAGCAAATTACAGTCCAAGTAAAAACATCCTATTGTGCAATGGTGGGTGGTCATTGGGCATTCGAGTCACTGGGGCGCCCTGGTTAAGGGCCAGGAAACCATAACTTGTGTGATGATGTCACAATTTCAAGAGATAGGTCACTCTGTTTGTGTAAAATCCAGGAAGATCTCAAGAAGTTTGTTAATTAAAGCTTCTCGGTGAAACATGCTTTCTAGTTTTAGGATGGATGATCCCCTGAGACGTTTTTCAGGGTGCACATGAGTGAGGATAAAGTGTGTGATAAATGCTTTTGTTGGTCGTGATGGTTCTGAAATCACTTATTTAAATTGGTCACTTATTTGAATGTATTTGAAACTAATTCTAATTTCTGATCTATTGTTGTCCATAGTATTTCCATGAGTCCTACTTATTGTAGTACCAAAATTCTGGCTATAAATGACAGTGTAGAGTGATAAAGATGGAATAGCAAATTAGTCATTTCATATTACATCTTCTTGTGGGACATTGGGACATATGATATCTTTTTTCTTCATTGAATTGCTTAGCTTATCAATGCCTAACCATCTTAATTATCGAATTAAATTATTAATCTGCAGATGGGCACACATTGCAAGTCATTTGCCAGGGAGGACAGACAACGAGATTAAGAATTATTGGAATTCTTGGATTAAGAAGAAGCTAAAAGATCACCCATTATCAAAACCTCAAACAAACACACCCCCTACTATGGACCTACAACATCCTCACCAACCCCTCCAATTTTCTTCTTTTATTAACATCACAAACAACGTTAAATTCACATCAAAGCCGCATGTCCCATTCCAAGAGCCCTTATTTTCATTCCCTAATAATAGTATTAATAATACTAATCATAATCCTTTTCTCACATTTGACACTAATAATGCGTCATTGGAAGGGGTTAGCGGTGGGGACAATGGCAACCAAGACTCGCTACCACTGCCGTTGTGGAACCACGAACCGTACGTGGCAGCGGTGGACAGCGCGGGAATGGACTCCGGTTACTTCCCGCCTTTGGTAATGGATAACACGATGGCGGCGCGTGAGATGACACGTGAGAATCGCGTGAACGACTGGGGCATTGACGACGCACAACAATGCCCAGGCAGCTATCTGTTCTGGGATGAAGGAGCAAGTGGGGATGATGAAGAACTACTAGCCTTACCAACGACGACATCATCGTCCAATATTATTGGAGCCATGATAATCCCATCATCATCAACTTCTTTTCCCTAGCTCGTCAATATCATATTTTGTCTATACATCACAGAAATTCCGATGATTCAATTTCATTAAGAGAGTGATGTGAAAGTGTTAAATCATCATCTCATTCAGCATAATTAAGTATAGTATATATGATTATGTAGTGCAGTTACAATTTATCATATATGGATTATTAATACACACAAGCAAAAAAGATCATTGTTATTATATTACACTTATGTGCACCATATTTATCTATTTCAATTCATGGAATATATTATCTTCTCCTTAAATTATCAAGTTTGACTAGCACACATATCTTCTCCTTACCAAGTTTGACTAGAAAACATTATACACAAAGATTTAGTGACACTTCAAAAACGTAATGGAAGGTCGAAAATTGTGACACGATATTTAATATCACGGAAATAATGTCAAGAAATAGTGATATTATAGTTACAATAAATTATGATACTTTTCTAACAATACGTTTTAAAACACCAACATGCCATATGATTTAATGAAATGTTAGCATCAAAAACTTAGATGATACATTAGCATTATAAAACTTCACAACACCATTATATATATCATGCTTTTATCCCACGTTTACCACATGAACACAATTATCCCACTTTTCACTTTTCATTGCATATGACAAAAAAAATAGCACAAATATAATTGTCAAAACAAAATTGTTACAGGACAAAAATACTATAATGCTATCTAAATAAGCTACTATTGTAGCAATGGGAGTATTTTATTTAGAGAAGGAGCATCTATTTATTAAGTTGGACTGGAAAGATAAAGTAATTATATTCTTTCCAAATCTTCATAAACTGAAGAGTAAGCCAATGAATAGCTAATACACAACCATTGGCAGATGACCTTGCATCTATATTGGACACAGCTTTAAGCAATAAATACTGATAAACGAAAATGTTAAGTTCTAGAAGATCATGAATTTGTAAAAGAATCCCAAAATGATTATTTATGAACCTTTAAAACTATTTTTTCTGAAAATAAAAAAAAAATGTAACATTTTTTATTTATAAAACACAATATGTTTTGAGATATAGTTAAACTTTCATTTATAAAATTCAAAATTTGAAATCTAACTACATTCTACTTTTTGTAGAGTTGATGGTTGGGATTGTTAAAAGAAGAATAGGCATGGTTCAAATTATTTGTACAATAAGCTTAGTTTTTATTTAAAACTGTCCTGTAATAGAATGATAATATACCCGATCATGCATGGATCATTATTAGCGAACAGTCCATATAGATAGAATTATATTAAAATAATCAATAATTGAGATTATTGATAACAGCAATAATTAGGATTATTATTTTCAATTTTCTCTAACATATATCCGAACATAATTTTCAATAACCTCTTCACCACTCCCTCACTAAGTAAAAAACGTTGGAAGTATAAACTAGAAATTTAGGAAGGAAAAATATGGCAGTAACATGCCTCAAAACTAAATTAATGTCCTTGAAATCTTGAATTGTCCAGCGCTAAAAATAATCATCTTTTATTTCAAAAAACAAAATAATAATAATAATAATAATAATAATAATAATAATAATAATAATAATAATAATAATAATAATAATAATAATAATAATAATAATAATAATAATAATAATAATAATAATAATAATAATAATAATAATAATAATAATAATAATAATAATAATAATAATAATAATAATAATAATAATAATAATAATAATAATAATAATAATAATAATAATAATAATAATAATAATAATAATAATAATAATAATAATAATAATAATAATAATAATAATAATAATAATAATAATAATAATAATAATAATAATAATAATAATAATAATAATAATAATAATAATAATAATAATAATAATAATAATAATAATAATAATAATAATAATAATAATAATAATAATAATAATAATAATAATAATAATAATAATAATAATAATAATAATAATAATAATCAGCTTTCGTTTGCAACTTATACTCCCTCCATCCCTGAAACAACTTTCCACTTTCCTTATTTGGATGTTTCTAATTTAACTTCTGATTTCCTTAAATTGAAAGTTATCCACATCAAAACAGTGTTAAACAGTGTCAAACAATGCTAATATAAATCATGTCGAAAAAGTAAAATTTATCCCGTAATAAATTTACTTCCTTAATATGTGTGTAAGTCAAACTGGAAAGTGATTTCCGGGACGGACGTAGTATATATCATATACTCCGTATGATATATGTGATGAATTCTTTATAGGAACATACGAGTACTAACAGTAGTTGACTCAAATTTCAACATTATATTTGAGTCACGTTCAATTTAATTTGATGTATTGGGATGCTCAATTACTCTGTTTAGGCTATATTCGACTATTAGTTTATACTGTACTTAGAACGATGATCTCCGTCTTATACTTAGTCATGGACCCGGGTCGGGCTTTTTTTTTGGAAGGAAGGCCCGGGACCGGCCCGGGTAGCCACCGGGTCCGGTCCGGGTCCGGGCCGGGCCTCCGGTTTGGTCAATTTTTTTTTTTTTGCTTTCCTAACCCACCCCCACCCCCCAAACCCCTCCTAACCATCAAGCCCAACCCGGTTAACCCCAAAAATGTAAAAAAAAAATTAATTCGGTCCGGACCCGGGCCCGGGCCGGCCAGGCCGGTTCGCCAAATACAAGGCCCGAGCCCGGACCCGCCCCCCCACCGGGCCTAGGCCCAACCAGGACCCGGACCCGAGAACCGGGCCGGTTCCGGGCCCGCACAGTAGCGGGCCGGGCCGGGCCGGGCGGCCCGAACCGGGTCCATGCCTACTTATACTCTTATTGAAGAAGAATAAGTTGTGACAAATATTATCTCGTGAAATTTCCTGGAAAATAAATTACTCTATAGTAAAAATGATTAGCCCCTACAAAAAGAAAAATAGAACGGGTCGATAGCAAGACTTCCTCTTTTAAATATTCCATTCAAATTCAAAGAATCTAGGGAAATGCTTCAAACCAAACATTTTTCCTTCAACCAAATGAAGCCATAATCACTAAAATTTTATTTCAAGTAAATGAGAATGGATACAATATATAAGGACTATAGCATATGGCTGGGATGCTCTGAGAAAATTATTCCTTGTTCAGCACTTTGGGGACATTGATATAAGGCTCCTCATAGCTTGGAAATGCAGCTATAATGGCTTCCCTGTCCAGAAACAAATTTGATGTGTTTGAAGTAGGACGAGAAAGCATGCAAATCCCTCAACTATGATAAATCGGTAACTAGATAATATTGACAAGTTTAATAGCAAACCTGTTTTCAAAACATTCAGGCACATCATCCCGCAAGCTATCGCCTTCGGTATCTATATAGGATATATGATGTATTTGAACATTATTAGGCCATGATATGAACATAGACATACAGAGCAAAATATATTCAAGAGCTACTACCCGGGGCCCTCTTGATGAAGTAAGGGAACATTGGCAATTAAACAGATTACAAACAAAGTCCAAACATGAATTTTCACTCTTTAATTAGGTTGGTTAAGATGAAAGGTTTTGGTAGGAGAAGAAATGGGGGACTTAGTCATCTAGGTAAAAATAATGTTTCCAAAAAAGTGATAAATATAATGATATTAGCAGGAATTAAGTGGTTTTGCTCATATATAATCTTGTGCGCATTTTTTCTACTTAAAAAATGTTAACAAATTTTTATCATTTGCAATGGAGCCAAAGATTCACTATTTTTTGGCTTGGGAATTTGATGAAATAAAGCAAAATGGCTCACTAAACTGTCTGCACTTCTTTGTTATGAACTAGTAGTCAATTCATGCAATTTTTTATGCAATTTTCACCATGGATCATCCGGAAATTGTCTTTTTGTGCTTTAGTACACGGGTAAGGCTGGATGCATCCGACCCCCCTACCCCACGGTAGGTGGGAGCCTTTGCGGCACTAGGGTAATGATGATGAATGATGAACAAATGTTAACAAAAAAATACTAGTAGAAAATATTTGGGACCAGGGTGATTTAGTCAAAGATACTTAGTTCCCACTAATACCATAACATTATATGGAGTATCATTTTTCATTGTCATTTACAGGATACTTGACTCGTGAAGGGTGTCTTTGTACTTCTAGAAATCCTCAAAGATCACTTGATAATTCGAAACAAACCTTAGGAGAGGTTGATGTAGTTAATCCTTAACATATTAAAGCATGAGACTTCTTTACAGACTATGTGGTTATAAGTTGATAACATGACAGAGTAATAGCTTCTAGATAGAGACAACGAAACTATAACAAAAACATATCTAAGAACATACTTATCCATTTAAATTACCTGCTCTGATGGATGGCTCAATAATTCCAAGATCAACGGCTTGGAGTTGACCAAACCTGCAAAAGAAACCAAATTGTAAAGCAGAGCAGCACTGGAGATGTCTGTCAAACCAAACAATAGCCTAAACTTTCATTCATGTTTTTGCAAGTATGAAAGAGTGACTATGATGTCTGTCAAATAACTGCGTGTAATCTGAAGACACCATGTTCCCAAATCATTGTCCCAAACAATAGCCTAAACTTTCATTGATGTTTTTGCAAGTATAAAAGACTGACTATGATGTCTGTCAAATAACTGTGTGTTATCTGAAGACACCATGATCCCAAATCACTGTCCCATTTATCGAACCAATAAAGTAACCCATAGTACAATGGTCAAGTTATCCTCCGATATTAACTTCACTTTTCTTTGTTATTTTATGATAATAATAATCAGTCTAGGTATGTTTGTCAAAATTCAAAAAATAATCATCATTAAAATGTGATTATTTTTAAAGATGTCAATGTACAAAGTCAAAGAAGTTGAATGCTTGATGTTACTCTTCTTCATTCAAAAGTAAATTTCGACAATCGCAGTCAAGTCATTTCCCTTCTATTGACCTCAGATCACAATATTTCTCAGATCACAGTTCTCCAAATCTACTCCTCAATCCCCATAGCTAAACCCAAAGCTGCCGAATTAATAAATCGAGCTTCCTGTATCTACTTATGATCAGTAAGGTAAATACATTGGTGCATTCGGAGTATCATAAAATTTGGTGTCATATGACACAGAAAAGGAAATGGTTCACAAATATATAGAAATAGACACAGAGTATACTCATAATTCATAGACACTACATCTCTTCCGTAAACATGTATTGTTCATTGAGACATAAAAACAAACATAGAGAGGGAGAAAGAGAGAAACCAGTCTATCACTTGTCGAATTTTAGGAGCGAATTCTTCAATCTGTAAGATGAAAAAGGAAACCAAAACCACGAAACAATCTAATCATTGGCTTATAAGCTTTCCTTGAACAAAACAACCAATGGGCAATGGAGCGTACACAGTACAGTGTGACATACCTCAGCTGGGGTGAGAGAAATGCGAGCTGTTGCGGCCAAACGAGAGACATCAGGGGGAGGAAGTACACTACTTGCCTTCGTAGAGTAGCTCCGGCGGACCAGGTGCTTTAACCTAAATGACGATTGTGTTCGGGTGAAGGCAGCAAACGCAGCAGCCATGGTATTAGGACGAAAGAAAGTAACCCTCCTCTGCTTATCAAAAGTAAAGATGCATTCAGATTTCAAATTGTGTTTGGTTGGAGCTTTTGAAGGAATGAGAAGTCTCTCTGGAAGTTGGAGAGGTGGTTTGGATTATTGCTTTGCATGTAAAATAAAAACAATCATGCTTGTGTACACGTTTTTTGTACACGACGGGCGAATCATCTATGCATAGACAATTTTTTCCATTTTGTAAAGAGAATTATTATTTGCATCGACAATTTGTCAGTACAAAAATTTTGTCGGTTCAAAAAGCAATTCTCTTCACAAAACGAAAAGAAATTATCTGTACACAGACAATTCGACCATTGTGTACAATGGCGTGTACAAACTACAAAACACAAGTATTTTAAACAAAAATGCGTGTATTACAAACAGCATTTTCCTAGCAAAAATATGTCATCTATAACATATTTTAAATAGAACTATGCCAAATTTAGCCAGTCTCAAAATTTATTGTCACTAGACTAAAAATAATTAGAGCATGTTTGGTAGGATGTAAAATAATTACTTTCCATACGAAGTATAGGACGTTAAAGTTTTACACTGTTTGGTTTGATTATTTAATGTAAACTGTTGCAGGATACTTTTTTAAAAAAATTCACTGCATGAAAAGTATTTTACGTGGGGTGGTAAAATATTTTGCATACTTTTTATAAAGCTGTGCAACACCTTTGCTTGCAACTTAAAAATAGATTACATATGTATCCAAACAATGTAATCTATTTCAATTCCCTAAACTTTGCATGCAATTGAAAGTATAATAGAAAATGTCATCATCATTTTATCTGCTCCCAATATTATTTCATATTATTGAAGTAGTTCAAGTCAACAAGATTAGCCAGATGCAACTGGATTTGTTGGAAGCTTCAATTAAAATAAAACAACTCCTAGAAGAATTGTTTAAGAATTGGTGCTCTGATGAATTGCATGAAGTATTGCTCAATATGTTCATGCCATCACATACTCAGATAGAATGCAATATCTGGCCAATTGGCCAAAGGGTGTGGCTTTGATATCAAGTAGAATATGAAGAACGGAAGAACTAATAGATACTCTCTCCGTACCATAAAATTCTTCACATTTCCTTTTTGGAAGTTTTGTGTGACTAACATTTAATTACTTTTTTCTTACACAACCACAATCATACATTTCTATTTTATTCCCAATTTCTTAAACTCCGATCCAAATCAAACCGAGAAGAATTTTATGGAATGCATGGAGAAATATATTTATTTATAGTTGGAGTTTCATCTTATTAATCTAACCTTGCTCACCAATTTTTCTTCAGCTAACCAATAACTAAGTTGCAGGCTTTTAATTTATTTATAGCTGAGAGTACCCATCAACCCATCATTCAACTTGTAGTATCAAATTGCAGGTGGTTGCTCTTTTTACCTAAGGTACCACCTAGACAAGAGTTCTCTTCTGTATGGGAAATCATCAGGGCTGGCCCTGTTCAAAATTAAACAAGAGGCCTTATTTTGCTATCATCTACCCAAAGCCTCCATCTGATATAAGAGCTTGAATCCATGAAAGTATATTCTTTGAACATATTTCTATTACAATTGAGAAATCATTAAAATTTTAATCAAACTAAATTGATCTTTTTCCTTTATAGTTTAGTTATTCCTCGAATATGTCTACTAAAAATGAGTGAGCTATATCATTAAAATTGAACAGATTAATCAATATACAAATTGAAAAAATAGTATTACCGTATTGAAGGGATACAGATGCTCCTTATACTTTACTTTATTTTATATTTTTTTAAAAATCTGAGAAATAATGAAAAATCAGTATGTAGAGTTCTTGGAGACCATTCATATCTAATAAATTTCTCAAGTCCAATCCTTAAAAATTATATTTGCAGATGGAGGTTTTCCTGCTCCCAAAAAATTATTGGCCAAATTTATTAAAGAAGTATGGAAGAGAAAAGAACTGAAACAAATTAAAGAACAAAAACAAAATACCTTACAAACTGCTCCGTACGTATAAGAAATCCCAGAGGCTTGGACATCAAAATTGCAAAGACTGAAGTTAATTTCTTATAGGAGTAAATTTCAGCCAAGTTTGGCATTAGCTTTAAACATGTCATTTTTTTTCAAACTTGACACATTACTCCTATTTTGGTATTTCGAACCATTTTTACTCCTATTTAGGGCAATTTCTGTACATTACAATTGAATTGCATCATTTTTTTTCAATAAATAAACAGGTAACAAGAACCTAATTTGCAATTAAAAAGAGAAAATACAGAAAATCTTACCGATTACCGAGGTCCTAGGCAATAAGGGGCTGAGGGCCGTGAGACCGTGATCGGTGGGTGGCGGATAGGCGGTGAGGCGGCGAGGCGGTGACTCCCGTGAGCCGCGTGACTGCGTAGTCTGCGTGAGGCACTTCAGTCGTGGAGTCCTGGTCTTGGAGAGGCGTCCAGGCGGGGCACGGTGGCGGGATGGCGGCGAAAAAGCGTAGTTAACTAGCTCGGTCCAGTCGTCCGGTTTGTCGCTTGAAGTTTCCCTTAGCACTTCCCTTCCATTCTAACTTCTCTGCATTTTCTTTAAGCTTGGGCTGACATCCATGTAATACAAGTAGTACAAAATAGGGTGGTTCTAACCACAGCCCCATTTTGCTATATACAGCCACCGTTTAATAAATACTCTCTCCGTTCCTGAAAATTTTTTGACCGTCCCAAAATATTGTTGCCATTTCCCCTTTTGGAAAATTTTTTATGGTTACAATTCATTTACATTTTTCTTACTCAATCACAATCATACATTTCCACTTTATTCCCACTTCCTTAAACTCCGTTCCAATTCAATGCGGGAACAATTTTCCTGGACGGAGGGAGTAATAAATAAAAATCTTCGGATTTCCAAAACTGTCCTTCAATATTATAACCCAAATTTAATGGTTATCCAGAAGCCGAGCCGGAGAGCTTCTTCTTCCGATTTTCGACTAATTCCTTAATCGTGGACATTTGACCTGATATATCAATACTAAGCCAAATGTTGTCATGTTCAACACATTTATCCGTTGCCCATGCTCTCCTCAACGACGGCATTTTTGTCTGAACTGGCAGTCGGAGTTGCAATAAAGAAAAACCAGTTGATTGCATACAAGAACGAAAAAAATGTACTCCTACACGTTAGGGAGCATATGCTACCGAATAGAAGGTGGATGAAGATCAGGATAGATATGTGAATGTATGGATATCATTTAAATTAAATTGATTTAATTTAATGGGTTGCTTTGAAAGAAAGGATCCAGAATGGATAGATTGCAGTGAGATTCGGGTCGGAACACCGTTCAAATACACCTGTGCGAATTTGGCAGACTTACTGCGGTGGCCGACAGGATCGTCGAGACACAGTGAGCGGCCATTTCATTCGATTGTTTGGGCTCCGCACTCCAGACCATCTATATAATACTCCATAGTTAGCGTGTAAGTAATGAAATTAATACGTAGAAGACCGTAGATGAAAGTAAAATTAAGGATAAAAACAACTTTTCATAATTGTAAAACGAATTGGGGGCTGTGAAAAGTAATCTGGGGTTTGTATTTAGAATTACAAAATAGTGCAAATTACCCGCACAGTCCACTTTTATACGTTGTATATCATTTATGTCCGTATCACTTTCTCTTTTCATAAATATCTTTTCTATTTTCAATTGTGGATTTTTATTTCACTTTTAGACCTGACCTCCTCTGTCCTTTCGGACTCCCTGACTTGAGTGACTTCCGTCTCTCTTCTAATCTCGCCTATACATCTGCATCTTATAATCTGTAGGAGAATTGAGTTCATTGGAGTTATTATCCACCTCACGATATCTCCCAAATTGTTATCGCTGGAATGGATGACACGACATCTGGAGAAAGAGGGGTCGAATCTCAGCTTTGACAAGTTGCGATCGAAGCTTTGAGATCACAGGTTGCGATGTAGTTTCTCGGATCGATCGATCCCTTACTGCAATGATAGTTCGGAACTCGATCAGTGGGCCGATTTACATGATTTGAATATTCTATCGTAGGTAATATAATCTCTCTCGAGATTGCCCTGAACATACAAATTTAAGATTGCTTAAAATCATTTTTGGTTCCTTCAATTGATATATTTTTCATTTTTGGATTGTAGTTTTATCTGCATCGTCATTTGAAACAACTAGTATTAGGTTGTCCTGGAAGTTTTTTGCTTCCTACTTTATGATATTTTCAGCATTAGTTATTCAATAATAATTTAATTTCTTAGGATGTACTTTGTGCCTTCATTGTGCAATGGCTATTAATTCTACGATAACTGATATGCTAGATTAGTTTAGATAACAATAATTTGTTGTTTATTTGAGTATTTTTTGGATTCTAGAAAATGCAATGGAGAGGTAAAGTAGTATTAGTCAATTGACGGCACTTCAAACATATTTTGTTTTACTTCAACAACTGAAACTAAACGTACTGCTGTAAAAAACAGCTGAAACTAGACATTGACTTCTTTATTTAAGAGACAAAAAATGGCTTCTTGTTTGGAACTAACTATTGAGAACTCTTTTTCTGCTATAAATTGAACCTTGTTGTAATTGTATCACTACTCTCTTAATTTGTATGGCAGCATCTAGTGAGGTAATACAAGTGCTTAGTGACTATATGTGTTATGTCTTGAGATAGTCTGCTATTTCCATATTGCTAAGTGAATAAGCATTTGACATTGCCTTTTGCCCGCTTTCCAGGTTGATGATGTTCTCGAATCAAAGTTAGATATGAAGTTTCACTTGTCATGGATAAAGCTATTTTGGATGCCATTGGATTGCATCTTGGCGGGCCGATCAGGTTGTTAGTATTTTATTATCTAGGTCTCAAGAGCTCCATGGGATTTGATGTGTTAAAAATAATTGAAATTTAAGAAACATGTCATTTGCACCAGTTTGAAGAGTAAAGTTGTAGGGTGCATTTGTCTTATTTTCTAGATCAGTTGGTAGATCTCTACTTTTATTGGTATCCACATATCGTGTTGTGATGTTAAGTGTCTTATCATTTTCTTTTTCAAGATCATGTACTGGAAATCAATCTTAAAACTTGTAACTCCTGGTGAGTTATTGATAAGCTCTTATTCTGTTCATAAGCCTTCTCCATAACGGTTGCCAATTATTCAATTGTTCACTTGCATAAAAACTCACATGGTGTAATTATTGCAGGTAATGATATCATGTACCAGTACGAATAATCATGTGACAGTTTGAAAGATGAATTGGTAGATGAGAGGTCTACATTGAATCAAAGATGAAACATTATATTGACAGTCAAGAATTGGAGGAGAATCAAGAGCGGCAGGAACTCCCAGAGATGCATCTCCATTCAGTTACCTTTATCATGTTCGATCTTATCCAACTTTCATGTTAGGATGTGAGCCTCCAAAAATCTATTTGGGTTTTGCTATCGACACTAATTTTGGCTCCTTTAATGCCCTGATTCAAATAATGTCTAATGTCTGCAGAAGGTGTTGCTCTACAAAATTGTGGCTGTGTGGTTGGGGTTGGACAGAAAACTGAAGCACATTGTGGTAGAAACCACCCCAAATCAAGATCCATTGATTACTAAAGGAATAAACCTGGTGCCCCTCCTGGGCATAGATGTTTTTGAAAAAACGCATACTACTTACAGTACAAGAACGTGAGACCAGATTACTTGAAGAGCATATGGAAGGTTATAAAATGGATGTATGCAAGTGACGGTTAATCGGTTATAATAAGACTAGGAGGATAAATGAGAAAAAGAAGACAAGAGAGCGATTTCTAAGGAACTGGAAGTATACATAGATGTTGTTTTTTGTTGCATTATATGTGTTTCTTTTTGTTGCGTTGTGTTTTTAGTTGTTGCATTGTGTTTCCCGTTGTTGCAGCGTATTGCTTATGGTTGTTTATAGTTGAATTTAATTTTAGTTGTTTATTTAGGTTCCTAGTTATCTTTGCTACTTCTTTGAAATAGAAGAAAAATCATTTATTGATATATATTCCCTTAAATTGACAAATTTCGATCTATAAATATCATCAATAAAACTTGAAGAAACAATAAAAAACAAATATGCAAAATTTGCAACAAAAATAAACATAAAGAAACACAAAGCAACAACACCCAACAAAAATTAACAATGAAATGATAATAAGAAATAAACTTTGTAGCTCCTTAAAAAATTAATAAAAAAACATATTGTGTGATATTTTCAAGTGTTTTACGTTTTTCACTATTTTAAATGTTGTACATTCGGTATTCAAACTTTGTGCTAATCCCCCCTAATTTTTTGGTATTTTTACCTTTCTGAAATTTTTAATACTTTTTTACATTTTTTATTTTCTATTTTTTTATTTTTTTATATTTTTGGTTATTCCTCTTTTTGAGTTTTTAAAATTTTCCTTACAAGCAGTGTTTATTTTACTTTTATTAAGTTTTCTGATTTTTACATTAGTTCATCATTTTTATTTCTACATCTTTGCTTTCTAGTTTTGATTTCAAATAAAAACTTGAGTAATTCTGCAGTTTGATGCTAAAAAAAACTAATCCTGCAGTTTCTTTTTATATTTTGGCATCACAAGGAATTACTATCCTCCATCTCTTTCTAATCGCAACATGTTGAATTTTACACTATTCACACATACTACTTTGGCTGCATTTTATATTATTATATTATGAAAATTATTTTTTTTAAATATTGTTCAATTCATCTCATTACAAATTTTCAAAATCTAATTTTTAAATAGTTTTTTACTAATAGAGATTAAGATATAATTACGATCAAAGACATGCGTTGGCAAGTGTGAAATGTTGACCGTTGCATCTAAAAAAGAACGGAGGAAGTAATAACTTAGTAACTTACTACTCTATATTTTAAGCTTTTATGGTTTGTTTTTTAAAATACAAATTTTTTATATTTTGTTTTATTCGAATCATTGTTACAATTATTTTCAGTTTATGAAATTTATTGAATTTATATTTTTTCCAATGTTCACAAATATTCCAAATTTTACAACATTTGTATGTTTGAACGGTTTTCCTTCTTTCAATTATTCAAGCGAGTGAAACTGTACGGCTATCGTGGGAGTGGGGTCCAAATGCTTTTAGTGTTCTTTATTACTACGTACTCCGTAAGATTTAAGACGCAAACGGAGTACCTGGATATAATGCTTGGGAGCGAGTCTATTATTGAAAAGAAAACATCAACTTGCCTATTTCTCAAAAACGCTTCCGAAGATCACAAAACTGATACTCCCTCCGGTTCTTTTTAAACTTCAGTGTTTGACTTCACAGTTATTAAGGAAATAAAGTTGACTTTACTTTAGAGTACACTGTTGAGACACTGTTTGACACTGTTGAGACACTGTTTGGCACTGTTGAGACACTGTTTGGCACTGTTGAGACACTGTTTGGCACTGTTTAGCACTGTTTAACACTGTTTTGATGTATATTTCTTTGCCAAATAAGGAAATAAGGAAGTATGAAGTTTATTTTGGACCGTCCCAAAAAGGAAAGTGTGAAGTTTATTTAGAACCGGAGGGAGTATTACTTTCAAATTTAGCCCCTTTGTGAAAAAAACCCTACAAAATATTAGGCCTTCGAATATTATGGGGCCCATGAGA